GAATTCCAGAAAGCGATGGATAGAACACTAAACCACGCAAAGAATACCTTTTGTTTCTTGGATGATATTCTAATTGTTTCAAAGGGGGAAGCCAAAGAGCACGAGAAATTAGTACACAATGTGTTGCAAAAGTTGGACGACGAAAATCTCGCATTAAAAATTTCGAAATGCGAATTCCTGCAGCCCGCAGTGAACTGGTTAGGTCATAATTTGTCAATACAGGGTATAATTCCAAAAGTTACTAAAACGGAGGCAATTGCAAACCTTCAACCTCCCAAATCATTAAAGCAACTCAGATCGTTCATGGGTAGCATCAACCACTTAGCGAAATTTATCCCAAATGCGGCTAGTTTAACTGAAAAAATTAGACCACTACTGAAAGAAGAAAATGAAAAAAAGAAGATGAAAAATGTCCGGTTACCAGTTAAAAAATTTGAGTGGAATGATCAACACTCAGTAATTTTTGAGGACATAAAAAGGGCAGTTGCTAATATAGCCTTGTTAAACTATTACGATCCAGCAAAGCAATCTAGAGTAAAATGCGATGCAAGTCATAGTGGGCTCGGAGCTACTTTAGAACAATGGTCTCATCAGAGCGATTGGATACCGATCGCATTCGCTTCCCGGTATTTAAATGCTCAAGAAAAAAAATATTCTACCAATGAACTTGAGCTACTAGCAGTAGTTTGGGCGGTAGATCGTTTCAAACATTATCTACTAGGAAGAGAATTTGTCATAGCAACTGACCACAAGGCATTGACATCAGCTTTGGGAGAACATAGATCAAATAAAACGTATCAATCTCGTTTGACTAGGTGGGTTGACCGATTATTGCCCTTCCAATTTAAAATTACTCATATTCCCGGAAGGGATATGGGTATCGTTGACTACTTGTCAAGAGAACCTAATGGAGAACCGTGGCCAGAATCGGAACTGGATGAGAGATTCGTAGTAACGTCTATTGAAAGTTTCCATAAAGCACTCGACTGTTTAAACAGTCGGTCTAGTGAAACAAACCAAAGTAGCACTATGAACATTCCAGAACATTCTAGAACATCAAGAGAAATTAACTACTGTAAAGACAGCTCATCACGCGGTTGCTATGACAACCAGTTTGTTCAAAACCGAACAAAGCTCGACCGGAACGAGAACGGTCAAAACTCAAGTTTTCAAACAGTTGAGAAGCACAAAAACACATTGGACAGAATAGCTCGTGAGAAACAGTTGGTCGATATTTCAAAACTCAAAAATAAATTAAACTCCAAACAATTAGAACCTAAGGAAACGGCGTCATCGAAAAAAAATGGAAAGAAGGGAAACAGGAAAATCAAAGAAGATGAAAAATAAACAGAACGGAAATCAGAGGGAGGACGATCAACTAACGGAACAAGTAACAGAAACCACCTTCTCTCGAACACGGATGGTAAAGAGAGGTGCTGCATGCAGTCGACAGGAGTCAGACGATTCTGATTCAGATATACCGCAAGTGGAGTGGAGACCAGTGAGAAAGACGATAAAGCCTAGAGGACTTAAAGAAATACAATCTGGAAAGGCGTCTGGAACTAGTGGAACAACCCTGATGTCATTTTGGGAACTCATAGGGGCAGAAAGACCAGACAATCCAAAAAGTCTACTTGAATTAGAGGCACAGACAAGTCTACTTGAATTAGAGGCACAGACAGCCTTGCCAGATTGTAATCGAGGTGACCAGTCATCACAATTGAATACCCAAAGTGAAATCCCCCAAATTATTGAAGTGGACTTAACAGCCGAGAGCCCTTCGGAAAGCCCAGAAGTCAGCTTAATTAAAAAGGAAAAGACATGTCACGCTTCCAGGAAAGGCATACCAGATCAAAATAACGTGCGTACTGATATCAGTCTGGACAACCTAAACAAACTATTTGATAGAAGCCTATTAGCGGAGCTGATATCAGAAGACGCCTGGATGGACAGGCTGCGGCGGGTCATTGAGAGGAACGATCGACACAGCTTCGAGCTGATGGGTCCATATACCAACCCTCTCTGGCACCAACTCTCAGTTGTGGACGACTGCATCCTGGTTGACAACAGATTAGCTGTCCCGGAACAATTGCGTTTGGCAGTTCTAAAGAGAATTCACCGCGGTCACCCAGGCCAGGAAGCGATGCTAGATGTGTCAAGGTACCTGTGGTGGCCGCACATGCACAAGGATATCGTCAACCTTGCAGAGGAATGCAGAAGTTGCACCCGCTATGGTAAGAATGCAAAATACATCATACCAAAAAATGCTACGAAGCCTCTGCCGCTGCTCACGCAGCCAGGTCAAGAAATTCAATTAGACTATGCTGGTCCGCTTGAAGATTTCAAAGGAAAAAAGATTTATCTGTTGGTAGCAATAGATAGGTATTCTAAATTTCCTTCAGTAAAAATCACTAAATCAACAGGGGGAAAGTCGTCAATAAAATTTCTTCGCTCATATATTGATATACATGGAATACCTGAATCAATTAGAACGGATCAATTTTCCGGGTTCAAGGGCAAAGCAATGAAAAAATTTTGCTCCGACAATAACATTGAACAAAAATTTTGTCCAGTTGGCGACCATCGCGGATGCGGCTTAGTAGAACGCACTATACAAACCATCAAGAGAAGGTTGGGAGTAATGTTACTCGATGAAAATGTAACGTCGATAAAATTGTGCTTGAGTACGATAATTCGCGACCTTCGTTGGATAAAACAGAAGACAATTCAAATGTCGCCATTTGAAGCGCACTTTGGGCGATTGCCAAAAACAGAATTTAAAATTCTCAGTGATAGGTTCTTACAAAACTCTGATCGTTTAGATAAGGAACATCTGGAGCGCTCCGCCTTGACGGCTTCGCAACTCAAAAAGAGAATCGACCAATCTCGTGACAACTTAAAGATTGTCCGGAAGGGACAAAACAGCCGAGATGTGAGTCCATTATTCAAAGAGCAAGTCGTCTCGGCAAAGGACCGAGAAAGAGCGCGGGCCCTAAAAGAGCTTCTGGAGGCCAATGCAAGATGGAACCAGACTCGACGTGATACTTCGGCAAACGACCTAAAGCGTACTGTGGATGAGACGAGTACCATTAATCCCGAGCTACGCAAAGAAATGCTATACTCGTGGGAGCGGGGGTTCGTTGAAGATAAACCGGAGGCCATTTCTCAGCAACGTCAGTCGTCACCAATCCTGATACGAAAAGACGAGGGGAGGAAGAGCGGTAAGGCCCTCACGAAACCTCTAAAGGGAAGGGTCGTGGCCGAAACGTCTTCCACAATTAAGACGGCTGCAGGGTCCATTTACCGGAAAAGCGATATTGCAAAGGTTAAGGTTGCAGTGCATGATAAGGAGAAAAACAACAATAGACGATCCCCATCGGGAGAAGAGCCTAAGAAAAAACAACAGAGGCAATCGAGGCGACAATCAGACGAACAGGATGAGGCTGAATTGAGTCAGTCGGATGAAGACTTATTGCTAGAGCAGCCAGGTGCAGCGAAGGAAAAATTTCAGGATAGCCCAACGGTGATCACTTCAAAAGACACCCTACAAGGCGGTGGACTGAATTTGGCGGTACGAAGAGCGAAGCCAAACTTGGCTGGACCATTCTCGAAATCAAATAAGGCCAAAGTGAGCCCAATCTCGACGAAAGACGCACAACAAGTCATATTACAAGATAAAAGTGCTGCGTCAGCAGCAGAAGTAATCGAACCGAAGGCGCCAGACCACGCATGTTCGTCGAACACTATCAAGAACAAGAAAGAAATTACACGCACTACATCTCCTGAAACAATCCTCGACACTTTCAATGGTAAGGATTTATCGGCGAATGATTGGAATCGATTAGCGGATCAAGTACTTGAACGAGGAGTTCAGCGCGCGGCGGCAGAGATACTGCATTCGAGAGAGGAAGCGAGAGACGACGAGGAATTGATGAATCCTCCGGGGTTTTCTGACGAATCCGAACTTGAGGAAACATCAGTACGGAAAAGCGGGAGATCGAAAAAGGGACCATCCAGATACGGAAACCCAATTAAGCATTCAGTGAAATCAATCTCGTTCCAGAATAACTTATTGGACTTGAACCAAGCCGCGCTCGAAGCATACAGAATCAAGCTTGCAAATTTTAAACCTGGTGCTTCTAATTCGGTGGAGACAAAATTTGGTCTGCTGGAAAAACATCTATTTAGGAGAAAGTTTGGCAGCGATGCTCTAGACATAACCCGTTCATGGAACGCCGAGTGGAGAATCCCGTTACAGTTGGAAGAGGAACATGAAGAGAGAGATGGAAAATGAGTTATCTAACACACAAAGCCAAAACTTCTTAAACTGAGTTCTAAAACTCCTATTCATTATTATTTAAAAATTTTTAATAACATAGTATAAAAATTTTCTTGATCGAGGGGGTATGTGGTACCGCAACTGCTACTGCCACTGCAGTAACTATGCAGTCCTCATATATATTGGCCTTGATAGTGCTACTTATATTTGCCACTGCTATCGCAGCAATCAGATAGTCATCACATATTGACCTTGATAGTGCTATACATATTGTTATCTATAAATTATATAATTCTATTATAAAAACCAAGGTCAAAGAATACGTGACCTTTTTAGAAATTCAAGAGAGTCAATCTCTCAGGCCTGTGGCTAAGAACACAGTCAGTAACAAACTAACAACAGAAAAGAAACGGTTTCATTATGGTTAATTAAACTCTTTCGAAACCACTTCAGTTTTCACTATACAACCTCAGAGGTATTGTTAGTTATCACAAACTTGTATAAAATTTTTATGGTTCTTCAAAATTTGTATAAAAAACTTGAATAAAAAACTTGCTAAATTTTTAATTACTAACCCTGTAATTGGGTGCTGTTAGAGTACACTCAAAGAATAGTTTTTTTTTGAATTTTGAAAATTCGAAGCACCGGAGGTGCGGTACACGCTAGTTCTATTTAATTTGTGTTAAAAGTAGAGAAATTGCATCTTTTTGATCATTTTCAGGTTTACAATAAACCACTGCCTGCTAAACTACCTGCAATTTTCATCAATGTAACTAGAGACAACAAAAATGTGAAGTGCAGTACCAAAGCCCTGGGAAAATTGGGTCCAGCTGTGAGAGATCTGCAGTTGAAGATATTTAAGGAATCAGCTGGCAAAATAACCGAGTTCTTGGCTAAGCAGGTGGAAAATTTTGGATTTCTTCACCGGCTAGCTGTTCTCATATCCCTTATAGATATGCTAGCTTGTCTCGCTCAGTCAGCCCTTCAAAATGACTGGACAAAACCTACTTTTCATGAATATTTGAAGTTGAACCAATGTTATCATCCATTGCTTGAGGCCACAAATAAGGAGAAACCAATCCCAAATGACGTATACCTTTGGGACTGCCAGAACTTTGCTCTCATTTCTGGTCAGTTAATTTTCATCTTCGCAAAAATGCGAGTTTTAAGACTCGATGAGCTCTTATAAAGGTCGTGATGATTTTTTTTGAGATGTCTTAAAATGCTCCAATAACTTATAAATGCACATATGAATGTCCTTAAGTATATATGCAATTTTTGAGTTCAATTCAAATCATTTGCTCGAGGTGAGGCAAAATGCGCTCACCAATTATGAAAGCTAAATTGGACAATATATTGCAAAAAAAACGTGGTTGCTTTCTACTTTTCTTTGCGTTTATTGACTCTTTTTCATCTGTCTCTTGGTTGCGTTTAAATATATTGACGCTAGAATATCCTCCGTGTTCTGCTCAACGAAGGGTTTTCATTTTATTGAGATTATCAATGAATAATTGCAGGTTGTCATTGCAGGTTGTCAATTTCCACATTCTTATTGAAATTCTTATTCCTTCGAAATATCCGCTTTTAACTTCAATTGGTTTTATTTTGATAGTTATATATTTGGATCTTCGAGGATTTAATATTTTTTGTTTAGGTCCAAATATGGCAGGTAAGACTGTGTACCTTAAGCAAATTGCCCTCGTGCAGGTTCTGGCTCAGATGGGCTCTTTCATTCCAGCCCAATCTGGGTCCGTCGTAAAGATGATGGACCACCTATTCTTCCTGTCCGCCCCTGGATCGAGTTCCTCCACGCAGGCTGATGACTGCTCGCAATTGGAGAACTCACTTCAACATGCTTTCTACATGCTCAAAGCAAAATCAGGTTCGCAAACAAACTTGCAATGATTTTTTTCTCCATTAAAATTGCTTCAAAAGAACGGAAAATGTTAGACCTATGATTAGTAAATTTAATTAAAATGGGTAAAATATTTTTCCCTGAAATCCCTTGACTAACGAAATGGCCGCTTTTAAACTCAATTGGTTTTATTTTGATAGTTATAGCTCGCAAACAGCTGCCATTTAACGTAATTTGATGCTTATACTACATATTTCTGCCTCGTTTCGGTACTGAGGTAGATCGGTTTCGGGTTGCTGGCCGATTGACAACATTTCAATTCATACGTAAATTAACCGTAATTATCGGAAATTACAAGTCAACAAAGAATAACGAACTGCCATGAATTTCGATATTTAAAAGCAGAATTCAACGTCATAAAATACGGAAAATGAAAATATTAAAAAGTTAACTTTAAAATGGCGCCTGAACAATTTGTGAACTTTGTTTCGATCTTTCCGTTTTCGACTTTTTTCACACACTGTTCTTCTTTCACCAGAAAATTTCATTAGTGACCACCTTGGTTTTTCTCGCGATGAATTCTAGCGAGAACATCCTCGCACCCCAAAAGAAAGAGGAGTGAGATTCAAGTAGTGACTGCACAACAGGTAAATTCAAAACTGTTCCGAAACTTGAAATGCGTGTTTCATCTTGATAATTTTCTGGGTCTTTTTTGCTTAATTTTTTATTGAATCAATATTTTTGTTATCCTCTGAATACAAGTGAATGGGTTTTTTGTAATATCAGGAGATGTTTTTCTTGCCTCTGTTTGATATTTATGCTTGGTTGTAAAATAAAACATTGTGATTCGTTTCCATTAAAAAAAACTTCTGGTGAGTTTTTAAAAGTTTTTCTTCTACCAATCACAAAGTGCGAGAAAAACTAAGCTTCTGTTTTCTTTTTCTTACCCGAAATCAAGTGCCTCAAATATATCAGGTGCTGTTGAGTGAGATATTCTGAAAAAAGTCGGCTCGGTCGTGATTTGATCAATATCAAAACGTCCAACTATTGTCAGTCGTAATATTCAGTCATGTGAGCTGGTGAAAATAACTAGATTTTTTGTCATATGTTGAAAAGGCATTGATTAATATGTGCTGAGCTTGCTTGTGATCCGCTTTCACTTTAAGCTCACAAATAATTTTTAAGCTCACAAATAAAAAGTCAAAAAAAGATAAAGGTAGTCGGAGCCTGTTGCGCTACGTTCACATCAACTGTTTGTTCTTATTTTCAATTATTTCAGTTGACAACCAGTCAGACCTTGAAAACATTCATATTTGGCTGACTTATAATAAAATAGCTTTAAATACTGATAAAACCACTCTACTAAGTTTTAAGAATAATGCTGAGACTTGCATTCTTCGTGTTGCTATATCTGATATTATATATTGTCCTAAAGTTTTTGTAAGTATCTAGATATTCTGGTGGATAATAAGTTTTCTTTTTCAAATCAAGTTGCTTTAATTAAAACATAGTTAGGTAGGCATTGTGTAGTTGTCTCAAAGAGACATTTTGTACCTAGACCGGTCATGATAAGATTTTATAATTCAAACGTTAAACCACTTACTCAATACGGACTGTTGGTCTGTTGGTATATAGTTGTACTGCTTTTTCAAACCTAAATTCGATCTTCTTGTTTCAGAAGAAGCTTATTAAATTGAAATATAGCGTTTCGGATGAGTTTAATCAACATAAAATTCTTACTATCCATGAGCTTTTTGTGTATGAACTTCTCAAATTTTGCATGCGCTCTCTCAAAAATTTTCTTGTTAATCATTTTTTGAACAGACATTCGTGAAAAATGAATTTGATTATAATACAAGGAGGTCATCTCTCCCATATTTCAAAAACCGATCTCTGGGCAAAAGATTGAATCCGCTTCCCTGCAGAATAGAGGTGCCAAGCTCCTTAAAATAAGCACCGAGCCCATGTCAATTTTCGCCCGAACATTTTAAAGAATTTAATTCAAATGAAGTTTGTTGCTTTGTTCATAAACTCAAAGATACTTATATTTTAGGAAATTCAGAGCTCTCTCGCTTTATTATTGAAAATTCATAAATTTTCGTCGAAACAAGCGATGATTGATGTTAAGAACGCAAAATTAGGTTGTTAAGGTCTGCATTAAAGCTTACCATCGCAAACTCTCTAGTTTTCGAGACAGACGCATTTTGAGAAAAAAGATCGATTTTGCTTGAGCCGTGAACTCGCTCTAACTGTCTTAGAAGTTGTTCATTTTTCGATTTGCTTAAATCGTGAGTGATTACTGTACTGCTGACAAAATCGGGTTGTCTTTCCATGCTAAAAATTCGACTTTCTCAAACCTTCTGCTTTTCGAGAAATCGCAATTTTTTCAAAGTTTTTGATTTTTTCAGTTTAATTATTATTATGACTAATTTTTTTAAATAAATCTCCGCTGAATTTTTTGAATTGAATTCGCGTTTTGATGTTAAAGTTATTCCCGAATCATTCCCACTGCTCCTCCTTCTCACTGGTTTCCACGCTTCCCCCTGCAGTTACATTCAAAATGTCCTATTTTGCGACAAAAATTACCAGTGACTCCCTTGGCTGAACACTTGTCCATGTGTTCTCATGTAAAGTTGGTTGATCGCAGTTGTAACATTGATTGCTTTGCATCATATCCCCCCGAATCGATTCGCGTCCGTGGTACATGCTCCTGCCCCGTTAACAACCATTTCTGAATCCTCCTCGTGTTATTCCGGCCGGTACGGATTTTATTTGAATCGCTCCCCCTGATGATCCCTGGGTTCCAGTAATTCCCCCGGCGGACGTTGCTACATATGATTTTGCGTACTTGTCGCTCCGCTCGTATGAAAGAGCAGTTCAATACACCTCCTGTGTTTTGGTGGATCGGCACAGTTAATTTTGCGCTTCACGGTTGTTCATGATAACAATGAAAACGTCCCTGAGGATTGGATCTTCTAATGCTTCAAAGATACATCGGGCCGCGAGCCCACATAAAACAGAGTGAAACTGCTTGAGAGTCTCATTGATTTGCTGTTTCCGAGCGAGATGTTGGAATGTCTCATACGTCTCAATCCTTTCCTTTTTGAATTCCGTCTCCAGTGCATATAACGAATTGTGCAACGAATCGTTGAGAGGTCCAAGTGTGGTCGTCTTTTATGCAGCTCGTCCTGCCCTCTTCGCTCAGCTACAAGTACAAGTTTGAGATCAATGTGTGTTCGGATTCTAACCAGTTCTTTCTGTCCACTTTCCCTGGCAAAGCGGTGATTTGGGTTTCGGTGAGAGTGGCCGCGAAATAGTATTTTTTCGGGTTAATCGAGTACTTTGCCTCCATTCTCCATTGCAATCTTTTCATCCAAAACTACCATAGCATTGGCGGTTCAATGCATTTCGGTGGCCAAAATCCGGTGATAGCAAGTTGGTTTTTCGCCCACTTGAAACTGCTGGCTGCGCCATGTTGAAAACGTGAATCAAGCAATAAGTAAATTCCGACAATAAGTGTAACTTAATCTTACGAAGTTAAATCCAAGAGTGACAATAGAGGTCAACCAAGGGTGACAGACAATACCAAAGGTCAGCACCTGCCAACAGACTAATTAGCACCACGATTGACAGTTAATTGATGGCTAGAACTTAAACTCTCACGAACTGAATTAGCACCATATGACACTCACCCTTCAATAAATAAAAACGTTAAATGACTGAAAAATACTGCTAGACGTTGATTGTAAAGTTAAGTAAAAATTGACGAAAATACCGAGTGATGAATTTTAAGGTTAATAAACTACTTTATAAAACAACGGTTTTTAGCAACTAAAGAAATCACCCAGTGGTGATAAGGGTTTTGAGTTTTAGGCCAATAATGATCAACCCTCTCCCTGGGCTCAAGATAGTTTGTTCTTCAGTTTTTGAGTTTTCACGTTACTTTCCCTCCTTTATCATTTTTGCTATCTATGTAGTCGATCACTCCTCCCATTTTCGTCAGGGCTGTTCTTCGTCCACTTCGTCTCGACGCTGTTTCATCCTTTCTTGAACTTGTCAAATGCTCGTTCTGACTTAATCGTTTGTGTTTTGGCTGTAAAATAACCTGAAATTAGTCAGTTTATCGAGTGTATGAGTTGTAATAAAAGTTTTATTTTTTAGCACTGTCAATTCAATAGCATTTTTGGTATCTGCTATTTTGGTGGCAAGTTTTTTGACATTATTCAAGCGAAAATGTCAAGGATCTGACGACCTGAGACTTTTAATCTCCAGTTCGGGGAGTTAATTTCCGGCACAAGTCGAAAGTTTAGCTGTTTTACAGCTCTTTTTTGTCATTTTTGCCGGTTTTCGAAGTTGAGTTTCGCTTGGGAGTTATCACAAACGATGAGAGTTCTAGCTTCGCTGTTGTTACTTTTTACATTCCAAATCTTGTGTTTCTGAAAAAAGAGGAAAGCTGGTGGTTAGCAATCAATCTGAATACTCTCGAATTTGAGTCTCTGGGCTCAAGAAAGTTTGTTTTTCAGTTTTAAGTTTTCACGTTACTTTCCCTCCTTTCTATCTTTTTTGCTATCTATGTAGTCGATCACTCCTCCCGTTTTTGTCACGGCTGTTCTTCCTCCACTTTGTCTCGACGCTGTTTCGTCCTGGCTCCTGTAAGATACCAATCTGGCTTTCCATGGTGCCTTCCGTTTCTTATCCGCGGGTGCCATTACCTAGGGTCCGCGGATTGGACTCCATTTCGCCGCCTTGTGTCGGAATAGTGTCATCATCATCTCCGGTGTCTAGTACCTGATTACTTCCTTTGTCGCTCTGTTTCTTGTGTTGATTATGTGCTTGTTGGTCCTGTTCGCTTGTTGGTTTTGCTGTCGTGGTTGGATTTTGTGATGGTCCTGCTTGTGTCGGCTGTTGCTCTTGTCGCTCGTTTTACGGAAATAGTAGATAGAATGTCGCTCTCCTCCGACTCTTACCCACTATTTCCAAATCGACGTCCGGTTCGTTTCCGCTGCTGTTTTTCGGCGTCAGCTTTCTTCGTGGCCCGTTCCTTTACTTCTTTGTTACTAAGTAAGCTCTAGTTTTCTTAGCTTTCGGCTTCATTGCCACACCCGACTTCGCTGTTTAGCGTTAACGTATGAGCATTCTCTGATTTTATTTTTGAATGGATTTGGTTATACCTTTTCAAATTTCGGCTTCTGGTTTGCTGATACAATGAGCCAGGGGGTCGCCGTTGTCCGCTCTGTTCCGCGGATCTTATGATAGACGGTTCATCGTCTTGATTCGCGGCCTGTTCATCGGTTAGCCTGCGTGAATGGCTGCTGTGCTTGAGGGCGTACGCAATATCTGACCTTACACCCCAGTAGTCTTAGCAGGATGTGGCATGACCCTCACTTTCGGGTCAGCTTCATCTAAACAAGCATATTTCGTTTTTATTGCTCGATACCAATTCAGATTTTGAAGGGAGGAATTTTTTCGTAAGATTTCTTTGCACCGTATTCGCTTCTCGACCTTGGTGCGCCTCAAATTGCGAAATTTTTAGCGTTGAATTCTTTGAAAATCTGGGAGCACCAAGGGCTCTTCCGATCATTTTTTCCAAGGGTTCCGAATGTTTTTCTTGTACGAAAGTCAGTATCGAATTTTTAACGATACCGATGGTGCGCTCTACACATCCGGTTGCTACGGGATGCTACGTCTTCGAGATTCCCTGGATTTGTGTTGTCATCATTTTCCCGAATCATTCCCACTGCTCCTCCTTCTCGCTGGTTTCCACGCTTTCCCCTGCAGTTACGTTCAAAAAGTCCTATTTTGCGACAAAAATTACCAGTGACTCCCTTGGCTGATCACTTGTCCATGTGTTCCCGTGTAAAGTTTGGTTGATCGCAGTTGTAACATCGATTGCTTTGCATCACATCCCCCCCCCCGAATCGATCCGCGTCCATGGTACATGCTCCTGCCCCGTGAACAACCAATTCTGAATCCTCTTCGTGTTATTCCGACCGGTTCGGATTTTATTCGAATCGCTCCCCCTGATGATCCCTGGGTTCCAGTACTTCCCCCGGCGGACTTGCTACATATGATTTTGCGTAGTTGTCGCCCCGCTCGTACGAAAGGGCAATTCAATACATGTCCGATGTTTTGGTGGATCGGCACAGTTAATTTTGCGCTTCACGGTTGTTCATGTTAACAATGAACAAGTCCCTGAAGATTGGATCTTCTAATGCTTCAAAGATACATCGGGCCGCGAGCCCACATAAAACAGAGTGAAACTGCTCGAGACTCTCATTGATTTGCTGTTTCCGAGCGAGAAGTTGGAATGTCTCATACGTCTCAATCCTTTCCTTTTTGAATTCCATCTCCAGTGCATATAACGAATTGTGCAACGAATCGTTGAGAGGTCCAAGTGTGGTCGTCTTTTATGCAGCTCGTCCTGCCCTCTTCGCTCAGCTACAAGTACAAGTTTGAGATCAATGTGTGTTCGGATTCTAACCAGTTCTTTCTGTCCACTTTCCCTGGCAAAGCGGTGATTTGGGTTTCGGTGAGAGTGGCCGCGAAATAGTATTTTTTCGGGTTAATCGAGTACTTTGCCTCCATTCTCCATTGCAATCTTTTCATCCAAAACTACCATAGCATTGGCGGTTCAATGCATTTCGGTGGCCAAAATCCGGTGATAGCAAGTTGGTTTTTCGCCCACTTGAAACTGCTGGCTGCGCCATGTTGAAAACGTGAATCAAGCAATAAGTAAATTCCGACAATAAGTGTAACTTAATCTTACGAAGTTAAATCCAAGAGTGACAATAGAGGTCAACCAAGGGTGACAGACAATACCAAAGGTCAGCACCTGCCAACAGACTAATTAGCACCACGATTGACAGTTAATTGATGGCTAGAACTTAAACTCTCACGAACTGAATTAGCACCATATGACACTCACCCTTCAATAAATAAAAACGTTAAATGACTGAAAAATACTGCTAGACGTTGATTGTAAAGTTAAGTAAAAATTGACGAAAATACCGAGTGATGAATTTTAAGGTTAATAAACTACTTTATAAAACAACGGTTTTTAGCAACTAAAGAAATCACCCAGTGGTGATAAGGGTTTTGAGTTTTAGGCCAATAATGATCAACCCTCTCCCTGGGCTCAAGATAGTTTGTTCTTCAGTTTTTGAGTTTTCACGTTACTTTCCCTCCTTTATCATTTTTGCTATCTATGTAGTCGATCACTCCTCCCATTTTCGTCAGGGCTGTTCTTCGTCCACTTCGTCTCGACGCTGTTTCATCCTTTCTTGAACTTGTCAAATGCTCGTTCTGACTTAATCGTTTGTGTTTTGGCTGTAAAATAACCTGAAATTAGTCAGTTTATCGAGTGTATGAGTTGTAATAAAAGTTTTATTTTTTAGCACTGTCAATTCAATAGCATTTTTGGTATCTGCTATTTTGGTGGCAAGTTTTTTGACATTATTCAAGCGAAAATGTCAAGGATCTGACGACCTGAGACTTTTAATCTCCAGTTCGGGGAGTTAATTTCCGGCACAAGTCGAAAGTTTAGCTGTTTTACAGCTCTTTTTTGTCATTTTTGCCGGTTTTCGAAGTTGAGTTTCGCTTGGGAGTTATCACAAACGATGAGAGTTCTAGCTTCGCTGTTGTTACTTTTTACATTCCAAATCTTGTGTTTCTGAAAAAAGAGGAAAGCTGGTGGTTAGCAATCAATCTGAATACTCTCGAATTTGAGTCTCTCGAAGCATGATCTCTATGCGTTTTGTTTATTAACCCTGTTTGAAGTGTTCATTTTAGACTCTAGTCTGGTGCTGGTGGATGAATTTGGGCAGATCACGAGTGAGGAAGACGGAGTGGCTCTCGCTCTTACCCTCTCAACTCTCCTCTGTCAGTCACCGTGCTTCAGGTATCTATAACTCATCCGGGGCGTTGATTGCAATCGGAATTTAGGTTGTTCTTCCGAACATCTCTCGAAAGTGGGAAAGTACTATGGTGTGAGGGTGTTTTTTTCCAGCCGATTTTGAATAAATGTTAGAAAGCTCGTATCGAGTCAGGTGTGATAGCATATTGAAACCTTCTCAACCGGGATTCGTATTGTTTAAAAATCCAAAAAAAATGTCTCAATGTCGAGAAAAACTGGTCTAAATATTATCGGCCAACGTGATCAGAGGCTGACCTCCAGATTCTATTCAAGTACGTTTTTCAACGTTGTTTTTGCTATTATACTTCCTGTTTTTTTGCTTGTTTCTACCTAGTTCAGTCAACCTTTTAAAGAAAAAAGGACTAGAAATAAGGGCAAAAAATGCAAAAATAGTTTTATTTTTATTACGCTTGCTGTTAGTCAGCGTTACCAAATCAGAATATAAACCGGGTTAACAACTAGTTAAACAAAATCAGTTAATTCAGTTGGCATGTCTATTCTGATGAAATGCCCTCAAGCTGATATTTTGAGCAGCTCCGCATATTATATGGCCGTTTCCTTCAATTTTTTGTTGTTGCTTTCAAAACAACGCTTTATTTTTTATCGCTGATTATTTTCATTTTTTACCATTGTTTTCTTTGACTTATTTGGTTTCGACTGGTAATATATGTTTATTTGCCTCATAGTTCGTCGTTTGAAGGGCCAAAATTGTTTTCTAGCATGTGTGTTCTTGAAGAGGGTGTGTGAAAAACGGGAGTTTTTAATTTTTTCATAGCTCAAAAGTTCTAAGACCAATTTTTTTGGGCCATTTGTCGTCTAACTAAGTGTTGTCTGCTCAGTTACTGTTTAATGAATGTTGTGTTTCAGTTTTATTCCACACTGGCAATTAAGTTTCTCAGTATTTTCCTTCCAAGTCCAAGTCTTTGGAACAAATGAAAAAAGTCGTTTTTTTTTCCAAAACAATTTTTTGAATTAGTGGCTTTCGCCTTTTTTTTGGTTAGCTGCCGTTCTGTTCTTTTGATATATCTGTGTTTTAAAATTTCTATCTTTATATTTTCTCTTTTGTTATATCAGTGTGATTGGGACAATCTTTGCTGATTGCCAAGTAACCGGCTACCCTTGTTGTTACGAGTGTGTTTTAGTTTTTTGTTTTCCACGCAAAATCAGGTACCACAAATAATCATCGGACTAGGTTGAGTGATATATCATATTAAAGCTCTTTTAGTCGTGATTTGAACTTCATTGAAAAATTCCCAATATTTTTTTTCTAGTGTCGAGAAAAACCGTTTTGAAATAATTGATTTTTCGTCTTAATTCGAGCGAATAAAGCAAGCGAGCAGGCTTAGAACAGCTGAGTTTTGCCTATTTCAAGACCTTAAAACTTAATTCAAAGCAAGTGAAACGAGTTTTTTTTCTTGTCGAGTTATTCATCCCTGCCCTATTTTCAAAGCTTCTTTCTGTCCACGTTCAGTGATCAAACATTAAGTTATCATGCCATATTTTTTACCATGTTCATCAGCAAGGTAATTGCAACCGGGACTTGGAATTCTTTTCGCCTTAAATTTTGTTCACAGAATTCATCATCTTACTTTATTAGCATATCAATTTCTAGCAACAAAGTTTGCTAGTTTTATGTAGCGATAATGTTTATGGCTGGGACTAACAAGACTCTGTAATCAAACCCTGGCGTCTGCTCAAATAATGTCGGCTTCGTTTCCACTCAGTAGATTTTGTCCAAATGCCAATTTAACACTAAGAAATGTGTTTATGCTCTAGTTTCTTCGAAGCGAATTCCGACACAAATTGATTAGATACTAATTTAATGCGTTTTGGTAGATGTTGCTCCTGAATTTTTTTCCCATTTTTTTTGTCTTCGAATTTGTGGGTTTCATAAGATTTCCCTACACACAACTGTGTTCGAATCTTGGGTTTTACGCAAGTTATGTCGGCTTTGTTATCGATTATTAGACTTTGTTCAAAGGCCAATCAACAGTGTGAGTTATGTATATCAGTTTGTTTCCTCAAAGTGAATTTCGATACAAATTGATTCGATATATACCTAATGCTTTTTGGTAGATGTTTTTGTTGTATCCACCTCAGAAAAACCGGTTTGAAATAATTGGTTTTTCGTCTTAATTCGAGCGAATAAAGCAAGCGAGCAAGCTTAGAACAGCTGATCTTTGCCTATTTTAAGACCTAAAAACTTAATTTATAGCAAGGTCGAGACTTTGGTCCATTTTTGAGTTATTCATCTCTACCCTATTTTCAAAGCTTATTTCTGTCCACTTTAAGTGATCGAACATTAAGTTCTCATGCCATCTTTTTTTACCATGTTCATTAGCAAGGTAATTGCAACCGGGACTTGGAATTCTTTTCGCCTTAAATTTTGTTCACAGAATTCATCATCTTACTTTATTAGCATATCAATTTCTAGCAACAAAGTTTGCTAGTTTTGTGTAGCGATAATGTTTATGGCTGGTACTAACAAGACTCTGTAATCGAACCCTGGCGTATGCTCAAATTATGTCGGCTTCGTTTCCACTCAGTAGATTTTGACCTAATGCCAATTTAACACTAAGAAATGTGTTTATGCTCTAGTTTCTTCGAAGCGAATTCCGACACAAATTGATTCGATACTAATTTAATGCGTTTTGGTAGATGTTGCTCCTGAATTTTTTTCCCATTTTTTTTTCTTCGAATTTGTGGGTTTCATAAGATTTCTAGCAGCTATCTTACAATGCTGTATTTGTGTTGTATTGCAGAAAATGTTGCTGATCTCAGAAATTTGCTAAGCTCCGAATGTTGTTATTCTGAAATGTTTGTCCATTGCGCGTTCTGAATTTCTCTTTTGTCTTTGAGTTGTAAAAATACCCGAACATAAATACTTTCTCGAGTGTATGAGTTTTGGTTTCTGTTTCGTAGGCAATATTCAATTTTTTGGGCATTATAGTTTTCAGTGCATTGTTTTGGCTCAGTTATCATTATTTGAGAGTTTATTATTTCAATTTTCCATGTCTAAAATTGAAGAAAAAAATACAAAATTTTTTTTTTAAAACTTTTTTTATTACCTAATTTTTATCTGACTGTTTTTTTTGTAGCTTCTACCATGTAACTGGGACTTGGATTTGTTTCAACTGCAAATTTTTATTCATAGAGTTATTCAGCTGGATTTACTAGCAGAGCAAGTTTCAGCTACAACTTCTGATAGTTTGGCGTAGTGGTAATGCATATTCTTCGTACTAAAAAACAACTGTGGTGTTCGAATCTTGGGTTTTACGCAAGTTATGTCGGCTTTGTTATCGATTATTAGACTTTGTTCAAAGGCCAATCAACAGTGTGAGTTATGTATATCAGTTTGTTTCCTCAAAGTGAATTTCGATACAAATTGATTCGATATATACCTAATGCTTTTTGGTAGATGTTTTTGTTGTATCCACCTCAGAAAAACCGGTTTGAAATAATTGGTTTTTCGTCTTAATTCGAGCGAATAAAGCAAGCGAGCAGGCATAGAACAGCTGATTTTTGCCTATTTTAAGACCTAAAAACTTAATTTATAGCAAGTGAAACGAGTTTTTTTTCTTGTGGACTTTGGTCCATTTTTGTGTTATTCATATCTACCCTATTTTCAAAGCTTCTTTCTGTCCACTTTCAGTGATCGAACATTAAGTTCTCATGCCATCTTTTTTTTACCATGTTCATTAGCAAGGTAATTGCAACCGGGACTTGGTATTCTTTTCGCCTTAAATTTTGCCTTACCCTTCCGCATTTGTCTGTTGTTTTTTAAGTTTCAGTGAACGTAGTGAAGACATATATATATATACATGCCGTGATAGTTATTTTGATTTTTTTTGGGAAAACGTCTCATAGTTTGTTCAAGCTTACGTTTGGCTTTTCGCGGTTTGATTTTTCGCGGTTTGATTTTTCATAAAAGGATGACAAACTCCACCTTCAAGCAGTCAATGTGTAAAGGACATGAGAATTTCTAGTTTCCAAAATGGATTTGAGTTTTCAGACTTCGCAATGAAATACAATGAATTCTGACCAAGTTTTATCAAACAGTTTTTTTTCCATAAAAAACGTCAGTAACAAATGGCTCTTAAAACTCTCAGAACTTAAAAGAAAATAAATAATTTTGATGCAATTTTTAACAATTTAGAAGTACTTAAACATAACTAGCGTGTAACGCACCTACGGGGCTTTAAACAGATTCATAAACATGAAAACTGGTTATATATAATTTATTATAGAACAAAATGAATGCACATGTAACACTAGATAGGGGCATCGAACAGCGCTTTTTTTTCAAAAATTGAACGATCAGAAAAGTTTCAACTAAGGTTCTTTTGAAACTAAAATGTTCAAACCTCCAAAGGATTTCCTGGGTTTCCGATCTTCGTATTTTCAACTTAGAAACAAAACCCTGAAATGGCCGTTAGCATACAACTGGACTTAACAATTTCAATGGTAAAATCACTGAGTTAAAAGAGTCTCTTGCTTAACTTAGCTCTATTTTTGATGAGCCCGTACGCATATCATTTGATGCGATCATTAGATATATCCAGCGTAATTATATTGAAATCAGCTGACTTTTTTCTTAGTTTTATGAAAATTTAAGAATATCAGAAAAAATATCAGTTTCAAAATTCTAACGATCACAAGAGCAAAAATTTTCAGCAATAATTTTAGAGTGAAGGCCACATCTAATACTGCTGGTAGTAACTTGACTTCACCCAGCCAATGCGTCGAAAATTTCAAATTTTGAAAAGTTTGTTTTCTATGCAATCTAACATTTTTGAAAATTTTTGAAAAAACATCAAAACGTCATATCGAAGAAATTGAAATACGTTGAGCAGTCATATTTTGAGTCCATATATAAACTTTCTGCCCGAAGTTTGACAGTATCTTCGCAAAGTCTTGAGAATTTTAAACTTTGTTAAGTTTTTCAGATTAAATTTTCAAAAATATATTGAAAAAAATGACATTTCTCGGATGCTAAACGCATTTTAGCAGCGAAGTTTGAAGTCAAAAGTCGCAACCCCTGAGAGTACCCCGACAACTATCAACTTCAGAATTTGGAATTTTATTTTTTTGAAATTTCGTAAATCCAAGTTTTCCTGAAATTTTGAAATCAATTCAAAAACGTTAAATCTCGGAAACTAAAAGATGTTGAGCATTCATATTTGAGAATTTGACTCAAACCATTTGAGAATAACCTGGCAGCGCCTCAGTATAGAAGTGGGAATTTCAAACTTTTTGACGTTTTTTATAGTTCCCTGAAAAATTTTGAAAAACCTAAACTTAATTTTTGAAAAACCTAATATTTGAAAATCTTGAGCCCTACAAGGATTTGCACAGTCGTAATATGAGGCAAGATTCGCAACCCTTGATAATTCTCTTACAGTACGAACCTGCAGGATTGTGAAAAATTACTCAGAAACGTCATATCTCGAAAATTACAAGGATTTGAGAAGTTATATTAGGAGTCAAGACTCGCAACCCCTGAAAGTTCCCTCACAATACGCAACTAAAGGATTGAGTATTTCAAATTTTTCAAATGTTTTCCAAATCTAAGTTTTTTTGAAAATTTTTGAAAAAAGTTGAGACTAATAATAGAAACAGTAATATCCCGAAAACTACAAGGACTTGAGAACTATTATTTGGAGGCAAGATTTGTATTCCCTGAGAGTACCCTGGCAGCACTCAACTATAGGGTTGGAAACTTCAAATTTTGTGAAATTTACTAATTTAAAGTTTTCTAGAAATTTTTGAAAAATCTCAAAAGTCGTCAGATCACTTAAACCAAAAAGGATTTGTTTATTCAAATTTGGGGGCCAAATTTGCAGCACCTGGGAAATCCTGACAGTATCCCACTATTGGGCTGCTAATTTCAAACTTGGTGAAATAAACAATATGAAATCAACCTATAAAATCGAAAAAAAATTCTTAATCATTGCAATATACGATATAGCTTAAACGTGAAAAAATTCTTTCGTTAAACATTCAAAATAATACCTTGAAAAATTTAAACATGTTCTAATTAGTTTTAAATTGTAGGAGTATAAGCAAAAACCTCGTGTTTTGGTCGTCAGCTGTAAGTAATTTTTTCTGAGCGTCTGTTGAATATATTCTCGGCTTATTGCTTTTAGACAAATTTAGGTCGGCCTAGCTGTCCTTTAAAATTCCTGATAGTTCTCGTCAGATTCAGAACTTCATCGCAATCATTTAAAGTTGTTTTACTCATTAATTGAGTGCTGTTACTGCCACCTGATTTAGCTTCGGTTTTTCAACGACCAACTGATTTTTTCTGAAGCTGACGAATGGAAGATAATTGTTACGTTTTTTAGTCAATGGAGTAATTTACACAGCTCTAGTCTGATTCAAATAATGCTTGGGGATGCTGCCCCGATCTGTTTGCACAAAATTAGATGTATAAAGGGGGATGCAACTTCGAGAAGTTTTCAAGCACTATCAAGAGATCGCGCCTTAGAGGAAAAAAATTACAAGTGCTCTAAAAAATTCACATGTTACCGCCAAACGTTCGGAATCTCTCCCTAGATCAGCATGTCCAATAGTCTTGCTTATCCTTGGGTGGTTTTTCTTCTTCCAAAATTTGCAATTTTTTGGTTTGAACTTGAAATTATTATGTATTTAAATGCGGGCTTCACTATATCGCCATGTTTAAGCTTTTTCAATGTATTATTTTTGCATGTTTAAGCTATATCGTATATTGCAATGGTTAAGAATTCTATTATATATTTAAATGCGGGCTTCGCTATCTCGCCATGTTTAAGCTTTTTCAACGTCTTATTTTTGCATGTTTAAGCTATATCGTATATTGCAATGGTTAAGAATTTTTTTGATTTTTCAATTTGATTTTAGTGGTTATTTTACCGAGTTTAAATTAAGCAGCCCAATATCGAATTAGGAGTTGCGAATTCGGCCTCCAATTTTGAATGCCCGTATGATTTTAGTTAACGAGATAACCCAACCCTGTAGTTGCGTGCTGTCAGAATACTCTAAGGAGTTACAAATCTTGCCTCCAGATATGACTGTTCAAATCCTTGTAATTTTCGAGATATGACGTTTTTTGTGATTTTTTCGAAAACTTTTCAGAAAACCTATATTAATTTTTTTTCACAAAATCTGAAATTCCCAACCCTGTAGTTGGGTCCTGTCAGAGTACTCTCATAGATTGCGAATCTTGCCTCCAAATATGACTGCTCAAATCCTTTTACTTTTCGAGATATGATACTTTTTGTGATTTTTTCAAAAATTTTCTGAACATTTTAATTAGTTGTTTCTCAAAATTTGAAATTCAAAACCTGGTAGTTGGGTGCTGTCAGAGTACTCCTATGAGTTATCAATCTTGCCTCTGTTCAAATCTTTGTAGTTTTCGAGACATGACGTTTTTTGTGATTTTTTCAAAAAATTTTCAGAAAACATGTGAATTTTTTTTCGCAAAATCTGAAACTTCCAACCCTGTACTTGGGTCCTGTCAGCATAATCTCAAAGATTGCGAATCTTGCCCCAATTATGACTGCTCAATTCTTTGTAGTTTTCGAGATATGACGTTTTTGTGATTTTTTCAAAAATTTTCAGAAAACTTAAATTAATATTAGTTTTTAAAAATCTGAAATTCCCAACCCTTTTGTTAAGTCCTGTCAGAGTACTCTCAAAGATTTCGAATCTTGCCTCCAAGTCTGACTGCTCAGTTCTCTGTAGTTTTTGAGATATGATGTTTTTTGTGATTTTTTCAAAAATTTTCAGAAAACTTCAGAAAGTTTAAATTAATTATTTTTCAAAATTTGAAATTCCCAACGCTATAGTTCGGTGTTGTCAGGGTACTCTAAAAACTTGAAAATCTTGCCACATGCAACTGCTAAATGTGACTGATCAAATGCTTTTAGTTACCGAGATGTGACGTTTTTTGATTTTTTCAAAGTTTCTCGAAGAACTTATCTACAAAGAAATTCAAAAAATTTGAAACGGCTATTTTGATGAAGATACAACCTTATTGTCAGCGTACACCCAGGCGTCTCAAATCTTGCCTCTAAATAGGAATGCTCTTTTAGTTTCCGAGATAAGACGTTTTTTCAATTTTTTTTGGGGAGTCAGGTTTAACAAAATTCACAAAATTTTGGATTCCTAACCCTATAGTAAGGTGCTCTCAGGGACTCTCAGTGTTGCAAAGCTGGCCTCCAAATTTCTCCAGAGGCCCATTAAGTTTTCGAAATGACGCTTTTTAGAGGGGAATTTAAAAAAAATTAAAAGTTAGAAATTACCAACCCTGTAATTGTGTGCAGTCAGAGTACACTAAAAGTTTGCAGATGTTGTTTCCAATATATGCGGTTTTTCTTGAGGTGTCAAAAATTTTCGAAGCACCGAAGGTGCGTTAAACGCTAGTTCTTCTTTATTACCGATATTTACTTCCGGACGGAAAGATGTTAGAATATACATATACGTTATGATGTTGAAGAAAAATTAAAATGAGATGAAAATAAGTTGAAATGAGATCGTAGAGAGGAGCTTTAAGAATGGCAACTAGAAACAATTAGAAACAGTTGAAATTGAAATGAGATCGTAGAGAGGAGCTTTAAGAATGGCAACTAGAAACAATTAATGGTGTCAGAAAATTATGATGCGCTGCATGCCCGAAACAACCGGCCACTCTTATTTTCATTGAAGTTAACTGAATGCATATGCGATTAAGAACCTGTGTTTCAGTGTGCTTACTTCCCATTACCTGCAGCTCGCACAGGTAGAACACATGTTCCTAAATGCCACCTGCTTCCATTTCGAAGTACTACTTCACAGTAGGAACAACCAAAACGAAACTGACTTTGGAAATAACCTGGATGCCTACAATGGACAGATGCGAGAAGAGTACACATACTTGCTGAAGAAGGGGTTTACTAAGGTGCGTTGTATTCTTATTTTAAGTTGTTGTAGTTAGCCTTTTTGACCGGCGATCGAAAGTATATTTGCCTTGGTTTTTACTTTCACCTCGAAATCGATCATTTTGTTTTTGTCAGCTAATTATTCACTGAAAAAAAACATGCGTACAGTACTGGCTTAACAGTATTCTCGCAATAATTTTTGATCCGATGCTTTTAACATGATGTATTACATAGAGCCTCAGGTTCGACAATGTTTTTTTAGGACATTTTATATGGGATAAGGATAGCAGAGGCTGCAAATTTTCCCAAATCAATCACCGAAATGGCGAGGCAGTTTGCCGAAGCAGCATTCACCGCGGGAGATGGACGGGACCAAATTGACAAAGATGAAAATGAGGAGAGCTTGATGCATATTGAACTCAACCGAAAAGAGTTTCTATTCCAAGGCAAACTCGAGTTTTTCTCTAATTATTTCAATGGGCCATCTGCTGAATTCAGTGTCAAACGGAAAGCTCTTTTAGAAGCAAAAAGAGCAGGAAGTTTGGATTGGGCTCTATATCATCTTCCAAATTTTGCAGATTTCAGTAGTTTTGACATACATGAGGCTAAACAGGAGCCCAAAAATGATCTAACTTGGATGAGCGAAGCAGAAGTGTGTGGATTGTCGACGCAAGCCCGTCTTAGTAGCAATGTGACCAACATTTGTCCCATGATTGTAAATGAAAGAGGAAGTGAATTTGATAGTGATGACAGACTTAGAGATTCTGTCGAAGACACGGGTCGGTGTCTTTCAAGTTTTTCTGGTACGAACATGAAGTTCGCCGTTGATTATCAAGAACAAAAGTCAGAAGAACCAAAAAACGAGGTCAGGTCCTTTGAGAATTCTAGTTTGTCAGCTGAGGGCGAAATAGAGAACGAACGTGATGATTTTGACGAGAGTCTTTTCGACGAAATTGATTTTGATAATGACTCTTTTGAGGGCGAACCGGAAGTTGGGGACGATTCTGCAGATCAAAGTGTCAGTGAAAGGGTTAATGGCCCCCTTCTTGATTTCGAATCAATTTTGCAACACTGCGAAGAGTTAGACCCATTTCAAAACGAAGATTGTTTCTGAACTTATGAACACTCATGTTTGTTAACCAACGTTTAATTTTCGCTGAAGTTATATTTCAGTTTAATTTGTGTTCGCAACACTTATCGTTCGTGCTAAAGTTCAGAGATTCATCTGCAGTAAGTCGAAATTGAACTGAATAAGCAGGAAGTAACTTTTGTATTATCCAGTAGCAATACGAAGGAAAACTATAGTAATAATGCAAACGTAAGTTTTGAGGAAAATTTGCATTTTTCAGAAATAAGATCAGAGATGAAAAGTTTACCTCCGATATATGGTATATAATGTACTTCATTTAGAATCTGAAGGTTGAGCGATTGAGTTATATCGTGTTTTATACCTTCGAATTTATCTGCAAACAGTTAATTAAGAACTGCTATTTGGTGAAAACTCTCGTTAAAAAAGTTGCAAAAAGTAACTCAATCACTATTTTATTTTAAAAAATGTAAGTCTGATTTTGTGATTGCACAGGATTTTTGCTCGTGTGAGTACAAACGATAAGGTAACAGTTGTTTAAAGATTTACCCAATTGTTGATTGTTAAAGTTTCCGGCTCAGATTTTTTCCGACTTGAAGACTTACAGGTTGAATTCCCCATTGTTTTTTTAAGCATAACAGAGTTAGTTATTCAGTTCTTATGTTTTTTACACACGCAAAGCTTGTTTGATAGTATGAACTCTTTTTTTTCCAACCTAAGTCGCAAATATTGTTGCGACAAAATGTGTTCATTTTGAAAGGGTTCATATTGATCAATAACAAGCTATTAAGAACAGCCAATGCTAAGGATATTAACACAGACTATTATATTACAAATAGCACTTTAGCTTTAAGGTATCATGGATCTGTAGCGTAGAGATAGCATGTAGCGTAGAGTTAGGGAAAGAGAGCCACAACAAAATAAGAGGGTTCGAACCTGGGTAGTCTCGAATGTTTTTAATGAACTTTTTCGTATACTAGTTAAAATGCGTCCACTCTATAAATTGGTGATACTGCTATTTAGGCTAATGACTGGCACTACTAATGCGTTAAAATTGGCTTGCGTCACTTCAAATTTTTGTAGAATCATAAATGGTGTGCGTCATTTCCGACATTTTGTAGACTCTAAGTTTTACTCATTCAATTCTTCCCAGTAGCGTTATTCGTCATATTTTTTTTTGTGTATGCGAAGTGCAACTTCGTCTCTGTGTTGGTACTAAATTTTTTAGCCCGTTAAATACTTTGTTTACAAAATTGCTAAAATGATAATCATTTCAATAATAGCATGGTTAGTGTTGTGTAAAAATTACATATTAAATATCGGCCTGTTGAAATTTTAATTTAGAGTATTTTGTATGTGCCCAATTTTTTTGGAAGAAATTCGGCGCTGGAAGAGGTCGGCTTCAGTTTTATCGGCTCATTTTCCAAACTTTTGTTTCGATTACGGTTCTTTGGTATTTGAGTTTTCTATAGAATTTTGGAAACATTTGAATCAATCTCCTGGACTCTTCAAAAAAGTGAAAAATTTGAACAGCCAACTTTTCAAATAAAAAAAAATGTTTTTTTTTCTCAGTTCAAGTAACAAAATTGGTTTAAACCCTGTTGTTTTTAGTAGTTCGATCGGCGGTGCAGATAAAATAGCTCATAGCTTTTGCACATATGTTTGATTAGTTTTTTTAAGATCTTTGACATTTGAATTTGTAAATTTTTATCACATTAGCTTCTAATCCATATATTTAAAGGTAGCCATTTCTTGAAAAACGCAGCCCGCGAAGCCCATACAAACCTGAATTCCTATCAAATCAGAAATTAATCATTTTTTTGGCTAATTTTGCTCAAATTTACTTGACGAATTTGTGGTTTTACGCTGCCAACTTGACTTACTGGCTGCTAATTCAGAGTAATGAACGTTATTTTGTCTTTTTTTCTGGAAAAATCTTAGAAAGTTTTTATTGCCGGCTTAACAGATTTCAGTTTAACTTGTCTCGACTTAATAATCTCTTATTTTCTAGTGCGAGGACCGAAAAAAATCTATGTGCTTATGTGTTCTCTGGGGGATTGGGGTATTAAACGTTTTATTAGCTTAGAATTCTTTTTGATTTTTTTTCGGCATACAGCGTTTCTGCTCAGATGTTTTCTGGTTTATTACAACTTTGTAGGTATAACGCAATTTAAATCATTCATCTGACGTAGAGGTATTGCAACTGCTTGAAAAGGGCGAATGCTTGTGATTCGAATCCGGACGGGACCTGTTTTTTGCACACTTGATTTTTTGTGCTTTTTCGGATTGTCGTAAGTCTATATTTTTTCGACCTGTTCTCGTTAGCCCAATTTTTTTGGATGGTTCAGCTTTTATCTAAGTTCCCCGACCAAGCCCGGTAGTTATATTTCAGCTGAGACCTGTGTAACAAAACTCGATCAAACCTTTGTTGTTTTTGGTAGTTCGATCCGTGGTGCAGATAAAATAGCTCATAATTTTCGCACATTGGTTTGTTTAGTTTGTTTTTTTGAGTTCTTTGACACTTGATTTTATAAATTTTTTATCACATTAGCTTCTAACTCGTATTTTTAATAGTAGCCATTTCATGAAAAACGAACGAAGCCCACGCAAACCTGAAGTTCTATCAAATCAGAAATAATAAATCTTTCGATAATTTTGCTCAACCGTGTCAATTTGACTTGCTGTCTGATAATTAATAGTTATGAACGTGATATAGGTCTTAACCATTTTTTGCGTTTTTTTCGACAAAAATCTTCAAGTATTTATATCAGGCTTAACAGGTTTGGGCTTAACTTACATCTTAAATCTTAACTTAAATGTCTCTTATTTCCTAGCTTAAGGGCCAAAAAAAAATCTATGTGCTCATTTGTTCTGAGGGGATTGGAGAACTAAACGTTCTAATAGCTTAGATTTTTTCTTGGATTTTTTTGGCATAAAGCGTTTCTGCTCAGATGTTTTCGGGTTTATTGCCACTTGGTAGGTATAATGCGCCTTCAATCATTCATCAGGCGGTATTGCAACTGCTTGAAAAAGGCAAAGTGTTGTGACTTTTTTTAAAGTTTTACGACCAAGGCCGGGAGTTCCTTTCCAGTCGAGACCTGTGTTTTTGCAAACTGAAAATTTTCGGCCAATGTAGATTATTGTATGGTTGCAAAAACACAGGACTCAACTGGAAAGCAACTCCCGGGCTTGGTCGTACAAATTAAAAAAAGCTGTACCTCCAAAAAAGTCGGGCTACGGAAACTAGACCGATAAACTAATTAGTTTGATGATAGTCCGAAAATGCAAAAAAAATCAAGTGTACAAAAAAACAGGTCCCGTCCGGATTCGAATCACAAGCATTCGCCCTTTTCAAGCAGTTGCAATACCTCTACGTCAGATGAATGATTTAAATTGCGTTATACCTACAAAGCGGTAATAAACCAGAAAACATCTGAGCAGAAAGGCTGTATGCCGAAAAAAAAATCAAAAAGAATTCTAAGCTAATGAAACGTTTAATACCCCAATCCCCTCAGAACATATCAACACATAGATTTTTTTCGGTCCTCACACTAGAAATTAAGCGACAATTAAGTCCAGATAAGTTAAACCGAAACCTGTTAAGCTGAAAAAAAACGCTTGAAGATTTTTCCCGAAAAAAAATTAACAAGACCAATATAACGTTCATTACTCTGAATTAGCAGACAGCAAGTCAAGTTGACTGTAAAACCACAAATTCTTCAGGTAATTTTGAGCTTAATAATTTGTTTTTTTTATTTGATAGCCCTTCAGGTTTGCGTGGCTTCGTTTTTCATGCATTGCCTACCTTCAAAAATATGAGTTAATAAAAATATGCAGACAGACAATAATCTACATAAGCCGAAAACTTTTTTGTCGGCTTTTTTTTGTCGGCTTAGTTCTGCAGAAAAGATATTTTTGAAAATGCGGCTTCTCTGTAGCTCACCGAAAGCTCCCTTTAAAGCATCTAAGTGTGCAAGTTGTTTTATTCGGGATAGTTTCAGCTTTTGTTGCAATTTTACTTTTTTGTTGAATTTTGCTGCAGTTTTAATTTTTTTTTGAGTTCATAAAAAACTCCTTTCGATTTTAAAGATAGTCATTTTTTGTATCGCATGTAGTGCGAAGTTTAGTTTTGCCTCTGATTTAAATATTGTATGCAATTATAAACATCTTAAAATGGGTTTTGAAGCTTTATAAAATAGTCGCATTAAAATCCATTTTGAGCTGATTATAATCAAAATTTTAGTTTCAAAAAACACAATTTTAAAAAAAAATCTTTTTTGCTTAATTAAACCGACAAAAAAGCAGACAGCTAATAACTTCAACTAGGCAAAATGTGTTTGCGAGTGTTTTTAATAGTGTGTTTGTGCATGTGCATGAGCCTTACAATATCTTAGTTGGGTGCAGATATTCAAATTGATAGTGGTATAGCTGCACTCTTGTGTGTGAACTTTCCTCTGTGTGTGTGGATGAGTGTGTATCATGAAAAACCCAATTTCAAATAAATATTTCAAAAAATACATGTCGCGTTTAATCAAAAATCAAAGTTTTGTGTGCGTGTGATTATGTGGGTTTTTGAGTGCGCTCGTGTGCATGTGTTTGTGTGATGGTATGCGTTCCTCTTGGTGCAAGTGAGCGTATGTGGGTGCATGTGTTTAGCTTCGCGTGCTTGTACACGTGTATGTGCGTGTTTTTGAGAAGAAATAGTGTGTAAGTAAGTAAGGGTGGGTCTTTGTTCATGTGTGTTTCTTTGTGATTGTTAGTCTGCATCTGTGTTTGTGTGTGTGTGTGTGTGTGTTCGTGGGTCATGAGCCTACCAATGTCTTCTTTGGCTGAAACTTTTCTAAAGTTATTAAACTCATTGGTGTATGATTGCATGCTCTGTGTGTGAAATTTCAATTGTAAATGAGTTTTGTCTGTGCGTGGGAATCCTTACACCCATTTGCAATTAAATTGTTCACAAAATTGAAATTGCATGCATTTTCTCAAACAAATTGTCAGTCCCGTTTTTTAAAAATCAATATTGCTTATACTTCTTTTTATGTTTCATGTGAATGTGTAGTTTTTTCGGGCGCGTGTGTGCTTGGGCATATGCGAGCGTGTTTATGCTTGTGTTTCAGT